CGCTTGTACATACAGATTTAATTTTCTTTAATTCGAGAAGCAGCATGTCAATTGAAAAGCTTGGCATTAGTTTCAGTGTGGCAGATCTACAGATATTTCTTCTAAAAGACTAAGGACTCTATATAGGTTTTTCCTTCATATATATAATATCTATGTTTTAATTATAATAACAGTAATAATCAGAAACAAAGCACCAAGCATATTTCTGACCTGAAATCACAATCACAAACAGCTGAGAAAAATTCGAAACATTCCCGATCTATATTTACTAGTGAAAGGTTTAATGAGTAGCTGTCACGTAATTTGAAAGTTTCATTTTCTTCATATTATTTCTTTCTCATTTTTTTCCATCTCCTGCAATATGGAATAAAACATTGATAGTTTTGAATAATTGAATCCCATTCCAACAATTATTCAAAATAATAGGCCGTATTATACAGGGTGGATCGGAACTCGATTGCTCGAGTTCTATGGTAGCTAGAAATATGATTCAGAAATGAATGTGAATTAGACAACATTGTCCATAGGCAGAATCATTGCAGCATATACAGAACGCACAAAAAAATCTATAGAGAGTCGGAATCCTTATATTCAGATAGATGATGCCATTTATATCAGAACATCTTTTGAAGCATCCCTGTGAGCTCTATCCACCCCTTTGATAGTATTGACTATATCTCGATCATATCAAAATTATGAATTTGTTTGTCGAAATAAAATGTCATTTGCAGATGCATACCGAAAAAATTACTGTCGTCACAATTCTGAAATCTTAGCAGAAATTCTCAGGATTTCATTTGATGGTAGGATGCGCGATTTTCATAGAGGATTTTCATGCCCTCGAAATATACAGGGTGACTGAAAATGATTTTTCAATGCAGAACTTTTCGAAGTGATTTTTCTCGAATTTTTCGAATGGATCGACCCATATATTTTTTGGCTATTCGATGTAGAATCAAAAAACGAACATCTTTTGACCAAACAGTCATAGCGATATTCGAAACCATTTTCAATTATTGAACTTTGAAAATTATAAAGGTTGGGCATTTAAATCGATACACATTCTTAACTGTTATGGAAACATCAGAAGTCCTATTGATGATTGAGTAAACCAGTTTTTTCATTGGAAGATTCGATACAATAGGAAACCAGAGAAACCACAAGTAGCTCATATAATAGTTATTTACAGAATAAAAAAGCCAAAATTTCCGTTTCTCAAATATCCCATACATTTAACATTGAAACTAACTATAGCCCTTTTCAGTCTCAGTAATTAATATATTTATTATGTTATGTTGAAAATGAAATGCATATTACTGTAGTTTATTGTATATTATTGCTGAATCACTGAATAAATGACTAAATAAATAAAAAATAAACAAAACCAGAATAATAATTCACATTAAGACTATTGACATGAAATTGTGCAAAAGAAGATCAGGAACTCAATAAATTGATGCTCCACATGTTGCCCATTGCTATTGACACACATCTCTATGCGCCGTCGAAAAGAGTATCCTACTGCTCTCAGTACTCCTGGTGTTATACTCCTGAAAGCATATATGATCCTCTACATCATATCATCTACTGTAATTGTAATATCTGTATACACAATTCCCTCAACGTATATAGCCCCATGAAAAAGTAATCCATACCTGTTGAATCACGGGATCTAGCAGACCAATTATTGGGTCCGTTTTTCCCAATCCAGCGCAGTGGGTAGTAGATATCTTTTAAGAATCCCTTGCTGCATTCAAATAATGTGGCGAATCACCATCTTGCAGTAACCACATTCTATTCCTTTCAGGAAGATTCAATAGTAATAGCGGCAGATTGTTTTTCAAGAAATTTTGAATAATCAATTCCTGTCAAGGTATACCATCGGAGAAATGCGGCCCTATTACATGTTCTCCAATGATTCCTCCCCAAACATTCATGAACCATCTATGCTGATTATCAACTTGCCTGAGGAAATGTGGATTTTTTAATGCATAGTAATAAAAAGTATGCCTAGTAACGAATCTATTCTTATGCAACCATCAAATTGAACACCATCTTTCCCAGCAGTTTTTTCGATTGCACTGAGAGCACCAATGGTTTCCTTTCCTTCAGAGTTTGAGTGGTACCACAAGTTTCCGGTTTCGAGGGCTGGGGACTCACAACCGACTTCTCAAATCTTTTTTCTGTCAAATAGTTGGCTATACAGATACGTTTCCTCAACTTTTGATTTCAACTGGATCGACTTGCAACTGGATTTTCTCTGGTATAGTCACTTGCTCATTTTCATTTCTTCACATTTATGAATTGCTTTCAACATTGATAACACATTTTTGGCAATTTATCTTGTATGTAATGTCAGATGTCAACTCCAGATTCGCTTTCATTATTACAGTATTTTCTTTCACTTGTCAAACTCACTTCATCACGACAGTATGCCGTAGCCATGATGGCTGTTTGAGAAAATGTGAAATGTAATCTGCATATTAGCTAATTTTGGGAAACAAATTTTAATCTGTTTATACCGTAATTAGCCATTATGTTTATATTACTCAACTGGCCAAAGATAAGTTTATGAAAGATTTTCTTGTCAACCCGACGAGTAAGTTACCTTACTCTCACTATTTCTAAATTCACATTTAACATTTTTCAATTTTATGATTATGATTAGCTGGAAGTTGATCACCTTGCACAAATTTTTCAATTCAAATTCAACTTTTCTCAAGAATACATTTTCCAAAAACTCTTTTCAATTTTCTATTAGGTCTTCTTCAATAGCTGAAAGCTCATTACTTACTTGCAGGAACACACTGATTATGACTGTTAGTCGAAAGGGCTCTGCTACGAGAAATGGCGTGAAATTTATTTTTTCTCCGATTGGCAGCAAATATTAATTTTGCTGACACATATCAATCAGCAAAGTATTACTTTTCCTGCCTAGGCAGCAAAGTGGTTACTTTGCTGATTGATATGTATCAGCAAAATTAATAATCCATAAATCGTTTATAATTTCCTTCATATTTCATCCGAGACATCTTCGGCAACAAATTCAACTATGTATTTTTTGCCTCTCTTATTTCTGGAGGTGTAAGTACTTTCAGGTCGCTATCACTGTCCATTATATAATAATTCAAATATACCGATATTTTTTCGCACAACTGTCAGGAATTTCATGAATTGTCAAAATATAAATATTATGGACATTTATATCCCAGACAGCACTGGATATTCCTAGAATATTCTCTAAATATGCTAAAAAGGAGGAGTATATTCCGAATATTCATCGATTATTCCTAGAATATATACATGCCTCTGGAACATCTAGGAGGAATATTCCAAAGTGATGTTCAGGGAATATTCAGGTATGAATTTTCCAGGAATATTCCCAAATGAATATTCTCTCTTGTATATTCATGAAATATTCTCAACTGAATATTCTGTGGTGTATATTCATGAAATATTCCATGAATATTCCTATGTTTCTCAACACATAAATACCCATCATTATTTCAGAGTTGTGAGTATCGAACATCAAAATTAGATGTGAGGGGATTTTGAAACAAAAAGTGTTTATGATCCGATTTCGAACAACGCTCTCACAAGAAATTGATATGTAGGTACAACATCATTCAATTCGATTACTGGCCTAGTGGTCAAGGCGTTGGTCTGATAGTCTTGAGGTCACGAGTTCGATCCCTACTAGGGTCACTTTTTTTATTTTAGAATATGTTTATTGGAATATTCCAGGAATATTCAACATGGAATATTCTTTTGGATATATTCTATGAATATCTGAGGAATTCCCATTCGCATATTTAGAGAATATTCCACAGATATTCCGGAATATTCCAGATTATTTCTAGAATATTCCAATATTCCAAAAGGAATATGATAGGGAGATTCATGGAATATCTGGTGCTGTCTGGGTATATAGCAACCAACCATTCCAACAACTTCGATTTCTATCAAATTTTATTTTAATTGAACACTACAGGAAAAGTGAAGAGATATATTATTATATCATTATGAACAATCGGAGAAAAAATTATATGTTCAACTCGGCAGCAAAGTAGATTGACTGCCTGAGCTGGATTCCTAGCCTCGCTACGCTCGGCTATGAATTCAGCCTCGGCAGTCAATCTACTACTTTGCTGCCTAGTTAAACAAATAACTATTGCACGAAATACAACTTCGTGTACTATTTAGGTATATCTACAAGTGCACACAGCTAAGCCACCCCCGCGAAAAGTGTTTCCTAGCAACATATACGTTACATATCAATCATTTTATTGTGTCAGTTAGAGGAACGTCAACCTCAAGAGCTAATTCTGGAACAAAAATGAATGATTTTTCAGCCGGTTGCAGAAAAAAGTATTACCAGTCATATAATGATGTCCATGAACTTGAAAACATTGAAATGAATCGTTTTTGAAATTATGGTACATAACAACAGTCGGTTGAAATTTCACCTCGCTACAGGCACATCCTGTATCATTCACTCCTTAATGAAATATTCATATTCATCATTATTTTATACCAGATGCCCATAATTAGTTTGATAATCTTCGCAGAAATAGAAAGAAAAGTTCCAATGATCGCATGAGTCACAAAATTGCCCCCAAAAGAAAGCTACGTCCCCTTCAACGGGGGCTCCTGAATATGATATTTCCTGAATATTTTCGAAACGCCATGTGATAAAATGATGCAAGTCGGTACAAGAACTAAATTTTCTATGTCCAATGCAATGAAAATAAAATCAACCAGGAACAGAAAGATAGAGGGTGGGATTACATTAGATATTACTCAAACTTTTTGTACGCATAGTTTCCGACAATTCAATCTCGGATTATAAAAATTCACACCTCTTCACAAAAAAAAACCACAATTGTGAACGTAGAAGCTGCTGGCGATATTTCGTAGGTAAGTATTTGACATCCTGTAATAAAGATTTAAACGCCACTCCATATAGTCTATTGAGAGGAAATATAAACAAAATGAGACATGTTTAGTATATTGATGATTTCTCAAAAATATAACACTAGAAATATACGTAACAGAAAAATGTCTGGAACACCATTATAAATATAGGTGAATTAATTGAATATGTTAACAAGAATTCTTCCAAGCATTTATTCACTGTACAATCATTATTTGAACTTTTTTTTCTACAAATATGTGTACACAAACGCTTCGTTTCCGATCTACAGAGCATTAATACTTCAAGATCTTGTTTTTCTCAATTGCTCTTTTTGTTTTCGAGATTTTCAGATCGAGTTTGGAACATAGGTTATACGTTTTAGGATACACATCATACAGTTGAGGAGTTAAACCCATTTTCGCTCCAAAAACTTTTTTGTTTTGCTACCCCGGTATATTTTGAAACACAAAATGAGCTACTTGTTTTGTTTATGATTTTTTTTGTCTTCCATGAATTTTACGCATCTGCGACCATTATCGAGAAAAAGATCTTTTGTTTTCAATTGCTTGTTAAGATGGAAATTTTTAACATAAAAAAAATTAATAATGCTTTACATATTTAGTTTGTGATCTTAATCACAAGTTTTCGAACATTTCTAGGTATAAGAAAGCTAACAAAACTTGACTTCCATAGAATGGTACTTGCAAAATAGGAAATTCTTGAAACTATAACGCTCTTTACATCGGCAACTAAGCGTTTGCGTATGTCAATGTTAGTGTCAGTGAAATATCACTTCCATGAATTATTCATTCATAATTAAGTAAGTCTGTTATATTCCTATTATCAAAGTCACGTACAAGCAAATTTTTGCATCTGTGATACTTCGTTTATTTACGATCTAATTTTTATGTATTTTTGAATTATATTCAGATCAGTGAATAAACATTATTATTATTATATAAGGACAGAGATGGTGGACAAGTTTTGGTGACTTCCGAAATGACAGCAACAGCATAACCTAAAAAACTCAACAGAAATTTAAGTAGGTATAAGTAGGTGCTCATTTTGATTTATTGCAATGTTTTGTATTTAAATTGTCGAGAATTTTCAACCTATCTCGTCTACTCCCCAATATAATATTCCATTCTCGGAACTATCAGAAGAACTGCTAGAACTTCTGGATCTGAAGACAACAACTCCAATAACACTCTTAATACATCGTTTTTTATTTCACATTTGTTTTCGCTTCAATTCTGAGCGTCTAATTGAAATCAACCTAAATCACCATCAGATCACGCAATTAAAAATGAGTAATGAGATAAGCAGTTGCGTTTTTTATTCAACAATTCGGTGCATCAGAGAGTGACGTACGTAACTTCCATCAATGATGAAAATGTGGTGTTACAACGAACATTCTTATAATTATAAGAAGAAAAAGCTGAAATCTCAATACTGAATCCTGAAACATGCACCCTTATGAGTATAGGAAATATTCATGAAAATTAGGAATAATTATGTCAATAAAATCTAGTGTCTTGGGTTTTGATGAATTTCATACATACATATAATAATCTTATAATTGATCCAATGCAGATTTGATTTTTTCTTGTTCCATATTGATGGCTGATAATTTTCATAGAAATATTCTAATAATGACTGACCAACAAAAATATGTTTCAAGACAATTATCATTTATATAATAAAAACATGATTCTTCGCCCTTCAAACTATGACCTTACTTTGCCCAAAATATATTAGCAATACAAAATTCATCATAAAACAAATTGCACAATGATATTTGAAAAATCACAGTAACATCATTTTTTCAGGAACGAAGAAGAATATAGGCCAGCATTACTCTGACCATACAGTTGATGATATATATCAGGTTGCTGATAAGAAGGGCTTTGAGGTCGTATTAGTAGATTGGTGGGGGTTGCATAGGTATTGGTGGTCTTCAGTGGTCTTATTGGCAAAGGATCACCAAAGCCAACTCTATCTGGACGGAGGAATTCATATCCATTTTGATCCGTTTGTGAAGGTTGATCTGCTGAGAGAAAAGAGAATTAGTGATGTTCTGGAAAAATATCAAGCAGTCATTTTCATAGACGATAAATCCCTATCTCTACTAACACACAACGTCCTAGGGACGTCCCTATGTGGTACAATCAACGTCCGATTGTCCCGAACCAAAAATAAGTGTCCTTGGGACGTCCCATCCCGTACATCTCATGCAATGTCCGAGCAAGGACGTCCACGAAATGTCCCAGCTGGTACATCATTTCAAATGTCCAATAAATAGCATCACTTAGACGTCCCACGTGGTACATATTGTAGAACGTCAATGCAAAGACGTCCTTGGCATGTCCCTGATGGGATATGATTTTAAATGTTCCTTTAGGGACATCCATCGGATGTCTCGAGTAGTACATATTCTGGCATGACTTCAGATCTTATATGATGTCCCTTCTAGACAACCATGAATTGCCGCTGATGGTACATTCCTTCAAATATCTCTGCACAGACGCCCTTGATATTTCCCGGATTGTATAACAATCGAAATGTCCCTAAGGGACATCCTTCGAATGTCCCTTAGGAATATCCGTCGGATGTCCCAATTGGTACTTGAACTGTACTCTTCCAATGTCCTAGAAATAATGTCCTATGGACGTCCGAGTCGGTACTTTCAAAATGTTGTCCCTGCGAGGACGTTAACTTACACCTAGCCGACGAATTATTGCTCGTAGACTATAAGTACTCTTCATCAATGTCCTTCACGTAAGTCCATTGGACATCCTTGGGAAACTTCATGGGAACCTTCTACGGACCATCAACTCAACTGGATGTCCTGATCAGTTATGCAAGATCTGGACCTGGAGGGACCCAGAAAAAATCGAATTCAAGAATATTTCGTACGTCCCTGGGACATCCTATGGACATCCAATCAATATCCCTCAGAGTTGCTGATAGGTTGCCCTATGGATGTCCTAAGGATGTCGTCTGTAGTGTTTGATGAGGAATACTGTAGGATTCAGGTGTTCGATAGTCGTCCCAGGGACATCCCTCAAGGACGTCCACAGGTGGTTCTCAAGTGGGACATTTGTGTATCCCACAGACGTCCACTGGACGTCCACGGTACCGAATTCGAACGTCCTATGGACGTCCTGAATGTCCCGACAAGACGTCCTAAGGATATCCATGGGACATAAGTGTTTTATTAGGGATTTGATTCATTTGTGAATAGATATTTTTCACAGTCTACTGAAATAAATCCAAAATTACAAGCAGTTATTGCAGATTTAAGCACGTTTCATGGACTATCTCCCAAAATATGGGTTCTGAGTATAGGGAAGTGTATTCCAGCAAGGGTTCAATATTGAAGTAGGATTGAGGTATGAAAATAACAAAACAATATTTTCAATGCTTCACATCCACTTTTTGGACCCACTTTTCTGCGAACCCTATATAAGTATATATATATAAGTTATTCATTGGTTGTGACTATGCTGAGTGATCCGTCCAACCTTCAATATTCACGATCCAATTATCACTAAAAATTCCAATTCACATGAAAATTGCGTATATATTATATGTTCGCTAGGTAGCATTTGTCATTTTTTCCATAGAAAAACCTCAATGAATAAAAAACGGTTCATTATAGATAATGTGTAATGAACCATAATCATGGGGGGAATTCTCAGAATTTCCGTACTATTTTCATGTGTCCAGATATAGATCGCGTTGACTCATGAAGATATACCCTGTGGAGAATTAACAATGTTGTCCATAAAAATAAATAACAAAACAATCAAAAATAATATAAGGGAAAACCAAAGTTTTATATCCAATTCTTCAAGAACAGGCAATGGTAATATTTATTCCAATTTTCAATGCCAATTCACGAACTATGTTTCACTGAAAGAGCCAAGATTTTAACCCTTGATTACTCGCGTTAATTAATTCGAACTTTTTCCTGCGCGGTGTATTTTGTACACCACCATGAATTTGACTTGTTTTTAGGTGAAACAAAAACGTATGCTTTCCAAACCCCGCACAAGTTTCGACTTATGGTGCAATGGATTCAGTGCTGGGTCCAACGAGGAAATGCAAATATAAAAAAACTTATTTCCCACGCAGTGTATTGTATTCTAGGCACCAACGGGCACCAACGTGACAACGCGTCAAAATTTACGTACAAACACACACACAAAACTGATCTATCACATCCCGGACATGTTGGACATAGGTTAGGTGGGAGTCTAGAGCCACAAAAAAATTCTAAGTTTGATGGTAGCAAGAAATTTGGCGCTGGTGTACAAAATACACCAGCGCGAGTAATTAAGGGTTAAGATCTATCATAAGACATGCCATACATTAGTACATTATGTAACTAGTGTTATGAACGTCCTTTTAGTATCGAGTAATTCAATTTTTGAATTGATTTGGCTGTTACTTGATGGAAATCCATGGTAAATGTTAAAATTTCACGAACGATAAGATTTCCACGAAACTCTCAAACACACGACATGTTTCGCTAACACAGTAGCTTCGTCAGGTGAAATACTTATACGATGAACTAAACTAACCTTGGTGTGCCTAAACTCATGAATATCAAACTTTCCCAACCTGAAGGATTAGTTACTCGTGGAAAGGTTCGATAAGCCTTCATTTTCGGAAATTAGGCACAATATCTACATTACAATACGGTTTACCGGATTAACTTGAAAGGGTTGATAGCAAATACATATTATTATTATTATTATTATTATTATTATTATTATATTACCTACTGAAAAAACAAATTCAACAGTGGTGAACTATTGAGGTTTAGTTGATCGTTAAGTAAAATGTCAGATTTTCTGAGTTTGTTGATCTCTGATGATTCAAAATGGTTGAGTTGTATTCCTTTATTTGCTACGTGTAGAATTTCGAAATTATGATCAAAACTATGGTTTCCTTCTGATATATTATGGTTGACGTATGTTGAATCTGTTCTCTTCAAAAAATGTTCTCTTCAAAAAAAATTCATCTCTCGTTCATGAATGCGCTGATTATACGTACGACCTATCTGACCGATATACAGTGTGGTCATTTGAGTGTGCAACATATGGAAAACTTTTTAATGAATTGCACAACCAAAATACAGATAGTGCCGAAAGTAAGTGCATGTTCAGTTACCATTTTAGGTGCACTCAGAATGGAATGAAAAGTATGAAAATTGCTCAAGAGTAAAGTACCCTTATTTGAGAAAATTTGGCAAAATGTTATTTAGAAAAGTTGTTTACAATTGAAAGATATGCCTAAATACCAGAACATGGATTTCTGAGATATTTTTCAGTTTTTCAATTTCGTTAGTGAATAATTTCCCAATTTGTAATTTTTTCGATATTCACCCTAACTACTTTCATAAATCAATCATAACAAAATTAGTTGAGCATTCTTTTGTTCAAATTTAAGCTTATTTGTGCAATTAACTCGGATTTCAATTTTTTTAGGGAATCACAATCTTTATGTTTGTTGCAACGATATTCAGTTTAACTTAAAAATTTCGCAAACCATATTTTTAACAAGATGAAACATCATTAATGATAATATGCATATTCAGAAACTTCCATTCAATGTGAACATTTTGTATTTAAAATATTACAAATTGGGGAAATTATTAACGATTATAATTTGAAAACTAAAAAATGTCTCAGGTGGCCATATTCTGGTATTTCGGCTTAACTTTAAATTGTTAACAACTTTTCCCAATAACATTTTGCTGAATTTTCTGAAATAAGGGTACTTTAATCTTGAGCAATTTATGAATTTTTTGACCTACCCTGTATGCTGTTTGACTTGCAACTATCCTAAGTGCACCTAAAATGATTACCGAACATGCACCAACTTTCGGCATTATCTGAATTTTGGTTGTGCAATTCATTGAAAAGATTCCCATATGTTGCACACTTAAATGACCACACTGTATACCTTAGGACAAGATTCATAGTTGAGTCCGTATTCCACTGATTTTTCAAATTTGATTTGATTTGCCAATTTCCGTAAGTGAATAGGAGTGGTCAAAGAAACGTAATACCACTATACCTGGGCAAATGCAAGGCGTATGGGAGGCTGAGATTTCAAATATTTGGTGCTGATACGATTTAACAGGAACATCTGATTAACCTAAGGTGGACGGACATTCTTACCTTCATCAGAAGGTCTCGGAGGATCTAATAAAGAAATAAGGAGAAGGAAGAGTATATATCTGCAGCAGGGGTCAGCGACAAGGGCCCATTGGGGCCTACTTGCTAGGCAGCTCCATCCCCTTACAAGTACTACTACTACTATTACGACCACTACTCGTTTCGTTTAACTGAGTACCAATCTTCTATAACCTACCTGATAATGGATAATCATGTAGGACAAACGAAGGGTCTTGTTGTGGAGTGTTCACTGCCGCGGGTACTAAATTTGGATCTGCCCCGATAGGTGGCAGAGCTGGCGATCTTATTGACGGTCTGGGATTCTGTCTTGTGTCTGAGTATCCAAGGCCTCCCGAGCCCAGGGCATAGGCACCTTGAAAATCGAAATTCAATCATTAGTCAAAAAGCATATACTCACATATGCATACTCAGAAATATATCTCGGGAGTTGATTTACAATCCGTTGCTCATACAAGGAGAAAACTGTTCGATTGGAGTTTGAAAAATATTCATCATTCGGAAGAAATACATTGGCATGATGATAACTTTCTTGAAAATGATTTATCAGTTATCTAAACTATGATCACTATCAACGAGGAAAAAACTCGAAGTCGTCTCCACAATTTTACTGGCAAAATGTGCAGGTAATTCTGCTTCATTTTTTTTTTCATTGAGACATGTCATCATTAGTCATAGTACTGATAAAGTTGATGTGGAAGTGGCTATAACATCATGAAGACGAACGATTTCATTATAAAAAAAAAACAAAATCTATTTGGTGACGTAGGAATGTCAAAATAGTAGCAAGCAAAAGTGGAATATGAGCTATTCTTCAAGGCGATCTCAACAATGATCATATGCATTTCAGAAACAAAAAACGAAAATGAGTGGAGTAAAAGTGTTGAAGAAGCAAACTGACTCGATATGATGCAACGAATGTGACTCACATGGTAATGAAAATTTTTTTTACCTGCAACATTAACTTTGTAAGTGCTAGAACATTGAAAAGAAGGATACCAAGATGAATTCTCACAAAAATTCATTGTCCCCATCGTGATTATTGAAAAGAATAACTATGCCGTGAAAAAGAGTTTCGGTTATGGTGGTAGTGCATCAGATTGTGTTGGTAGCAATTGTTAAAAATATCATGCCCATTTGGAAATTGAATATTGATATATTAAAAATTATATGAATATTCAATTTCAGCTCTTAATGGATCAGATATAGACCACAATCATTAACATGAATGCAATACTTTTAATTCACCTATCCTTGGTGTATCAAGTTGATAATTTGCAATTGTAAACAACATTATACTTCGTCGATATTTAATTCTGTTAAAAATTACCTCTTATTGAAAGTGGACTCGCTAACAGCCTTGTGCTTCTTACATGATATAAATATGCATTGAATACCTATATCTTGTAACCAACGTAGGTGATCCATAACTTACAGTGGAGGTGATATAAAACAAGAGGGGTGAAAGAACTTACAGTCACAACTCCACCACATAAAAATTTTAATAATGACCAACGGTCATGGACATAAAAAGGACATGTTTCGAAGGATTAATCCTTCATCATCAGCAAATGTGTTAAAAAGAAAATCTGTAAGAAGAAACAATGCTTATGTTAGTCATAAGTGTTGATTATGGAATCCAAATGTACCTACCATTATTGGTGGAAAAAGTTCACATAATACAAAACATGGGAAAATAGTTATTTATTATACAAGGGAAAAAAGTAGTAGATTTTAGCTCCAGGTTGTGTTGTCTCCCGACGCGTAGCGGAGGGAGACAAAAAACCGTGAGCTAAAATCTAATATTTTTCCCGTGTATAATACACTATTTTTTTCTGTGACAGAAGGAAGGACGAATCAATATTGAGAAGATATTACATTATTTCGAAATCTGAAAATTATCGACGTGAAATTTCAAGTTTTTAACAGTAGGGACACCTGCGTTTTATAGGCATCTTTATCATTCTTTTGAAGTAATCAAATATCTGATGTCACTTCTGTCAGTTCAATTCCGTGATTTGATTTTGAAAAATTGCGAATTCAGTAGTTGTTTAGTAATATACGAAACCGCGAGGTCGAATGAAAGATAAGAGGACTTGCAGTTCTTTCTCGGCGACGGTATTATTGACTCATTTTTCGAAACTATAGCACAACAAAAGCCATTAACAGAGTATATATATGTCATATATATCCGGGAAAGAAGTACTCACTTTTTTCCCACGGGAAAAAAGTAATTTATGAAAAGTGACATTTTATAACCTGCCAACAGAGATGAAATGCCAAACTTTTTTCCCGTCACAGAAAAAAATTATTTATAAACCGCGCATAGTGCTGATGATATTCTTGCTCTCTTCAAAGGTACCCTACTTGAACTCAACGATTTTCTTTCTTTTCTGAACTCTATCAATCCTAGAATACAATTCACAATGGAAATTGAATCCAATAATCAGTTACCTTTTCTTGATATCTTGATACACAAAACAAATACTTTCAACTTTTCAATTTACAGAAAACCAACAAGTACTGACAATATTATACCTTTCAATTCATTCCACCCTTACAGCCAAAAATGTTCAGCTTTCCATGCACTTTTCCATAGACTTTTTACAATACCCTTGAACAATGAAAACTTTACAGCTGAATTGAATATCATTAAACAAATCGCAGTCAACAATAATTTTCCTATTCATTTAATTGATCGACTTTACTTGAAATACACCAATAAATTTTCAAATATTTTTTTAACAAATTCTGTCTCAACATCCAAATATTTTTCCCTTTCTTTCTTTGGTTCCGTTTCCCTTGAACTCAGGAAAATTCTGGGAAAGAAACTCAACAACAATAATACCATAAATTTTAATTTTTCTTTCAAAACCGCCAATACTCTAGGGAGTACACTAGTCAACAAAAAAGACAAGATTGATATTTTAGAAAAATCCGGTGTTTATAAATTGAATTGTAAGAATGATGATTGTAAAGTTTGCTACATTGGTCAAACAGGTCGCAAGTTCAAAACCAGAGTATCAGAACACAATCGCATTATAGAAAATAATTTTGAAAAAGAATTTTTTGAGTCCAATTCTGTTTTTCCTAACCATATAATCAATAACAAACACTCTTTTGATCCCAAATCTAACATTGAAATTTTACATATTTGTGACGGGAAAAAAACTTAACCTCCTTGAAACTCTGGAAATTAATAAAGCGGTCAAAAATTCTAACCTCAACTGCCTCAATGAACAAACTCAATTCGATAGCCTCAAATTATTCAACTCCCTGTCATTTTAACTACAATTCTTGTTTCTGTGTTCTATGTCACTTCGAATCAAAACATTCCTTGGTTTTGACTTGACGGTTGTTATTCTGATATTGTGTTTTGTCCTCAGCGTCATTGTCATCATATGTCATTTGTCATTTGTGATTAGTTAACCTAATTCAACGAATTCCAGTTCCACATGTTGGCTCTTTTTGATAAGTGAACTTTGTCAAAAATTTCAATTATCTAAGCTCTTATTATTGAGCTTAAGAAAATGTTTCTTTAACATTAACTCACCCGCACTATGCGCGGTTTATAAATAATTTTTTTCCCATGTTTTGTATTATGTGAACTTTTTCCACCAATAATGGTAGGTACATTTAGATTCCATAATCAACACTTATGACTAACATAAGCATTGTTTCTTCTTACAGATTTTCTTTTTAACACATTTGCTGATGATGAAGGATTAATCCTTCGGAACATGTCCTTTTTATGTCCATGACCGTTGGTCATTATTAAAATTTTTATGTGGTGGAGTTGTGACTGTAAGTTCTTTCACCCCTCCTGACCTATATCTTGGTTGTGAGACTCATGTAATCAGTTTTCTAAATATGAGAGAAATGAGAAATACTTAGTTCGAATTGAAATGAGATCTGTATAGGCGCTTCTGCTATTCTTTCAGATCCACCAAGTGTATGAAAAATCACATTTGTCTTCAACAAAGGAGAACTGTTTTGAAAACTACCCCCAATAGGAATTGTTCGATTTTGGCAGATGACGAGGTAAGCGATCTGAAAATGTTAATTGAATATTTCGGCCCTAATTCATATTATACCCGACAAAATATCTTGTTACTTTGTTGAAAAGGGTTGATTCTGAATTATGCGTTGAACTTTTTTATAAAGGTTCTACGTGGGGTTTGGATTTGGGTATGAGGAAATTGAGTTATGTTAAACCATAAGTAACGTTTCGCCCATAACCATAGGCTTTGTCAATTTCAACTTATTTCATTGTAAGAAGTTGTAGTCACATGCACATTTCAAAAAATTATACAAACTCTTCAATTATTTTGTATCATTATTTAAAATGTATGACTTCAACTTCTCACAGATGACCATGATTGGAAACTGGAATTGACAAAGCTCAACGGCATGGGCGAAACGTTTTTTTTTCATGATTTTACAGGCCAATTATTACCAAGAAAATCTGGAGGTCAATATGAAAAACAGTTATCTGAGTTAATCAAATGGTACAAAGAACAGAACGTAGAAAATGTATAGAAGAGAAGTCGAAAAAGCTTAAAGCATTGTCATTTTGGATATTGGTATCTGATGATAGAAGCCACAATTGCAACAGGCACTCTGAAAATATATTTTTAAATTCAGCATTTATTGCAAGGAAATTCACTTTGAATTTCTAGTAATTTGAAGAACGACTTTATTCCATGGTAATAGGAAATGGAGGTATGACTACACTAATTTAAAAAAAAAAATTAAAAAAGCAATCTACCAATATCCATTTCTATTTTCGGAAATATCTTATGTTAATATCTTTACAACATTGCACAACTGCTCTTTTCTGTTAAACCATATTTGTATGTGGGACCCATCTGAAAACGAAGTACATTTGTACAATGTTGTAGACAAACAACAATGGTGGAACAGCGATAATGAATTAAGCCACCTTTTCGTTATGACGATGCCCTGCTCTCACAATCAATATTCATATCGGCAATTGACTTACCATATCTGGGAGAAGTAATATTTATCTTTGCCCAGAAACGCTATTTTTGCTGAGTAAACAAACTCTGGATCACGGTAGTTTCGTGAATAAATGGCTAATAGCGCCATCTGCAGAATATTTGTTCCATTTTCTGCATGGCTTACATGTTGTAGAATCACAAATGGAGTGAATGAATCAAAGAGTGGAATTTCATTTCTGTCGTTTACTTGAGTATCATTTTGAGTCGGATCAGTATTTTTCTATGTGAAAAATGTCCTAAAATCGATTGAACCGGATTAGTGGTGCCCGCGAGAGTCTCGTTTTGGAGAGTCTCGCATGGTCTCGTCTCGTTTTCGAGACAAGACTCGAGACGTGACTAGGACAAGACAAGACAAGACTTTTATTGGTCTCGTCTCGAGTCTTGTGCAAGACTTCTCGTGTCTCGTGCGAGAGTCTCGCAGGTAAATATTTCTGCTGACATGAGAATTTCATCCATAATATTATACAACATACTAAGAAAAAATCAAGATTATTTTGCACAGATAGACAAAATATTCCATTTTATTTTTATAACTTTCAAATATACAGGATGACCTATAAGTGACGATGGATCAAAAGAAGTGGGGTGGTAGGGGAATCATTTCCAATCAAACGAACCGTATATGTGGTTATGCAATTATTGATGGTTCAAAAGTTAATAAAGTTTTTTCATTCCGATAGAAAGAATTAATAACAATAAAACTATGTCACACTTGTGATTTTTTCTTCCACAAATTCTCGCATGCACCTTTTCCCAGAAATGATTTCATGACATGTATTACTTCTTATCAATCAACTGAGAAAAATTTTGTTTCCCTTGAGTTTTGTCAGTGAATGAAATATTCAAGTCAATTTTCAAATGCCGCTGGCAGATTTGAAAACTACCACACAAAAATAACCAATCATTAAAGAAGAGTTGCCCATTTAATACAGATTCCGAAATAGTATTACATATGTGGTTATTCAAATTAGCCTTTTTGTTATTAATTTTTTTGAAATGGGTCGCATTTTTCAAGAAAAATTAATAACTTTCGAACCATCAACAATTTGATAACAACATATATATACCGTTAGTTTAATTACATATGACCCCCCTACCACCCCACTTCTTCTGATCCATTACTCATGGTACACCCTATATAATGCTATGTTTTTTTCCTTTGTTCAGATGTATGATGTAAGTATGTACCTATTAGGTACTTACTTTTCAATAAATAATGTTATTTTTATTGTAAATTCCTCTTCCTACTACTACATTATACCTTAAAAGTGGGCAAAGGTAAATATTCCATACTAGACTGGAACAAGATTATGCATGAAGAAATTGCGATACATTTGCGAGACTCTCGTACGAGACGCGAGACATGACGTGACTCGAGGCTGCGAGACGAGACTCGAGACAAGACTTCATATTCCATCGGCGAGACGAGACGTGTGAATCACTAAACCGGATAACAATTCGAAGAATTATGTTTCCCAATATGAAAAAGCAGATGCGGTGCTCTTGCTGAGAATTGTACTTACATATTTCGCATACTGTTAGAAAATTGAAACACCGTTTCGAAGCGTATCTGCATGCGCCACATATTATGCAGATGCGTTGTTCTCGTTCAGTTCTGTTTAGATAAGTGGTTTTTGCTCAGCAGGAGTGCCTAATTTGGCTATAGATAGTAGTAATTGGAATGTCTAGGATCACTGATTTCCAATAAAAATCGCGATTTCGCTTAATAACGATCAAGTATTTGTGGCGAAGCAACCAAAGTGCCAAAAATCCCAATTTCTGTGAATTTGTTGGTTACGGGGGTTTTGATAAGGACGGGAGACCATGCTATATCTCAATGATTATTAATTTGTTGAGTTACAAGAAATGAAATTGAATATGTTGTATATTTACAACACTATGCAGTGAAGGGTTAAGCCCCTCCGCTACGGGTCGTGCACCAAACTCCATGCACACGCGGGAGGAAATGGATACCTTTTCCATCTTGATATATAAATGGCTATCAAATTCTGAATTGACTCGGCCGTTACTTGATGGAAATCCATGGCAAATGTAAAAACTTCACAAATGATAAGATTTTTCACAAAATACTCAAACACACGACATGTCTCGCTAACACACTAGGTGTGTATTTAGATCTATGATAGTAGCTTCGTCAGGTGATATACTGGTACGATGAACTAACATTGGCTTGTTTATATATCCCAATTTCTCAACCTGAAGGATTATTTACCTGTGGGCAGGTTCGATAAACCTCCATTTTCGGAAATTAGGCACAATATCTACATTAATATTCGGTGTACCGGATTAATATCGAATACATATTGTTACTTCCTAAGAAAACAAATTCAACAGCGGTGAACTATAGGGGTCTAATTGATCGTTCAGTAATATATCAGAATATTTGAGTTCGTTGATTTCTGATGATTCAAAATGATTGAGTCTCATTCCATTATTCTCTACGTGTAGAATTTCGAAATTATCATCAAAACTATGGTTTTCTTCTGATATATGGTTGGCGTATGTTGAATGAAGCTATTCAAGAAGTTCATCCTACCATCAAGAAAAATAATCAGAATTATAGAACTTCAGACTATTTTGGATCATCAACTGAAAAATAAGCTTCATTTCTACATAAACATAGGACTTAAAAGTAGCATATAGAACAAATAACACGTAGGGAAGGTTTATCAAGAATGATGAAGACAAAAATTCTAACTTCGAAAAATCAGGTTTATACAAACTCAACTGGGGATCTTGTCCTAAGGTATATATCGGTCAGACAGGTCGCATGTTTTATCAGCGCATTTATGAACACAACTTAAGATGAATTTTTCGAAGAAGTGAACAAATCCAACATACGCCAACCATATATTAGAAGAAAACCATAGTTTTGATGATAATTCGGAAATTCTACACGTAGAGAATAAAGGAATGAGACTCAATCATTTTGAATAATTATAGAAATCAACAAACTCAAATATTCTGACATATTACTCAACGATCAATTAGACCTCAATAGTTCGCCACTGTTGAATTTGTTTTCATCTTAGATTATTTACTAAATAATCTAAGGTTTTCATGTATTCGATATCAACCCTTTTATCCGGAAAATGGAGGTTTCATATCATTCAGGTTGGTGAAGTAGGATATACAGGGTGTTCCTCAATGATATGCTTGTATTCAAGGGCCGACTCTTCGGCCCATTTCAAGAATAAAACTTCATATGAACGTATGTCGTAAACGCCCTCTAACTTTTGAGATACCAGGTGTCAATGTTGAAAATATGCATAGAATATTTATTTGTCCACCCTGTATAGCTTTTCGTGATGGCAGAATTCAGTCTGCTATGTGATTGTATCGGTATAGAAATTTCATAATGTTACATACTGTGGTTATCCAGTAATGGATGTCCTCAATGGAGTACTCAGACATCAACATTTGAAGTCTGTTCTCGTTTTTCCGTTGTTTCTCGAAAACGAAGCGTTCTATCGCGTATCAACAAAGGGATCTTTTTTGTACATAATTAAATAGCTTTCCATGACATTGCATTAAACTTGAAATTTTTTTGTCGCTGCTCACTTTTGAGTAAAATATAAACATTAATATTCCCGTAACGGTGCCACTGGTAGAGAAAATGGAAATTTTTGTGCACCAGAAAATGCACCTTGATGCATAAAACACTTGTACAAAATTTCATGGAGATGTATACAATATTGTCCCAGTTATTATAAAAAAACTGAATATTTTTCAAAACTTCATCACCCTGTATCTCAAAAGTTAAGACTTTTCGGATATACGTTCATATGGATTTTTCTTCCTAAAATGAGTCAAAGAACCAACCCCTCGAATATCAGCATGTCTTCAAGGAACACCCTGTATAAGCAAGCCAATGTTAGTTTAGTTCATCGTACAAGTACATCACCACCTGACGAAGCTACTGTGTTAGCAAAACATGTCGTGTGTTTGAGAATTTTGTGGAAATCCTATCGTTCGTGAGTTTTTCACATGAAATATAATCTGTCAGTATCAGATAAAGCTTTTCTTACCTCCTCCCAAGTCGATCACCCCAAGCGACCCAGACCCCAGGAAGACCGCCCCTCCATTTCCGGGCACGTTGGCCGCCGCCGCGCTGACCGGGGTGGCTGGAGGCGGCATCCCGGGGATTACTGCAGTGCCGGCCGCCTGGGGCGGCACGTACTCTTGAGATTCCTGCACCGGCTTATCGACGGCATTGCTGCTGGCCGACTGGATTCGGGGTAATCGGTGCAGCTGCTGCGATCGGAGGTTCGGTTCTATGTCCGCTTCGAAGGAAATGTCCGGGTGGGTGTATTGGTGGAAAGGAAGGAACTTTCCTGGAAAAATTGTATAATGATGATAAGGTCAGAAATATTCATTCATTATACACAGTAAAAAAAAGACGCTTCGAGTAGTAGTATTTTTGTCGAGATTTTTGTAGAGTTAAAATTCTCTGACAAACTCACTCTTATACTGCAATCAACTCTATAACTACACTTCTCGGAGATTATCTCCTTTGAAACAAAATCTAGATTGAATTTCCACTGATCCCGTATTGAATTCACTCTACAGGGTGTCCGCTAAAAGGAGGTCAATCCATCAACCATATATTCCTTGAACAAAAATAATATGAGTTTCCAAATACCATTTTTCATTTTAGCCCTTCTTATTCGATATACAGGGTGTCAAAGTTGGAAATTAAAAACTGTTTTTTTCTAATTACTCGCGTAATCAATGAGATATTAATCTCAAAATTGGTACATTACTTCAGCACGAAGAGTTACATCGTGTGAGGAAAACAAAACAGAAAATAACTGTCAAATATTCAAAATACTGGGGGTCAAGTACACACTTACCCCCATATTTTTTTTGTACGTGCGCTAATGACTTCCTATCTATTTTTCTTCAAGTGTTCAATCATTTTTGAGTATTTTTTGATTCTTGTAAAATTCCGATAAACATTTGTTTTAAAGATAATTCGAAAAGTACTGGTTATTGTTTGATGCCTCGCGGCTTACGGTAATCTCATAATGTTCACATACTCCTATTTATTTCGTCGAAATTGGAAGAGGGCGTATCTTCTTACGTACGGAAAGGTAAATATGGAAATACCGGGTGCTCAGAGCGAATGTATTAAAATAATTTTTACACTTTTTAAATGTTTTTTTTTTGTAAAAATTATTTTAGTACATTTGCTCTGATCACCCGGTATTTCCATATTTATCTTTTCTTACGTAAAAAGATACGCCCTCATCCAATTTCGACGAAATAAATAGGAGTATGTGAACATTATGAGATTACCGTAAGCCGCATAGGCATCAAACAATAACCAGTACTTTTCGAATTATCTTAAAAACAAATGATTCAATCGAAATTTTACAAGAAACAAGAAATACTCAAAAATGATTGAACACTTGAAGGAGAATAGATAAGAAGTCATTAGCGCACGTACAAAAAAAATATGGGGGTAAGTGTGTACTTGACCCCCAGTATTTTGAATATTTGACAGTTATTTTCTGTTATGTTTTCCTCACACGATGTAACTCTTTGTGCTGAAGTAATGTACCAATTTTGAGATGAATATCTTATCAAATACGCGAGTGATTAGAAAAAAACAGTTTTTAATTTCCAACTTTGACACCCTGTATATCGAATATGAAGGGCTAAAATGAAAAATGGTATTTAGGAACTCATATTGTTTTTGTTCAAGGAATATGTTGTTAATGGATTGACCTCCTTTTAGCGGACACCCTGTATATTCCTGAAATTCCAATAAAACATCAATTCAGACTTAATTCACAAACAATTGGAATTGCATTGAATGTCCCACTCTCATCGATTAAATTGACAATCTATCATTGTTGTTGCTATACTGGATAGTGAAATAAGTAATGATGATTATATAGTGTCGATGATATCATGATCATGATATTAAATTCAAGTACCTTTTTTACTATACCTGTGTGGTGAGAGATTTTTTCAACAATGAGTTATTAACGTATTTTCGTATATATCTTAGTTTTTTCCCGATTTTTCTGTTTCGAATCATCATTTCAAACGATTTATGAAACATATAGGTTAACTAATTATTGGATGACATCTCAACAGTAAGTAGTGCCTAGTTTACTCAACTAGTGTTCTTCTATATCAATCTAAAATATTGAATGAATGATAACTCCTCATTAGCACCTGAACACATAGTAGTGTCAATTTGAACAATGCAGGAGCAATTTGACATCCACAGGTATAGTGAATAATTCAATCAATTTCTGGTGGATCCGACACTGTTTATAGGGTGAAATCTACTTTCTTTTATTATATTCCGAATGTCAACTTTCGTGACTATGTAATACCCGGTTATTGAATTTCACTCTGAAGTGATGACATTGACACTAGCTTGGATCTTGAGTGGAATGTTCACTTTATAAATTGTTTCTTCCAACCCTTCTGAAGTGTACCTTATGAAAAGGCGTTGAAAAATGTTCTATATCCTACCGTTTCAATTCCATTTATTCAATAAAAACATTTTTACAATACAAGGTGTATAAACAAAAATCTTTTAAAGGGGACATTGGACATGATGAAAATGTAAAACATACAATGTAAAACACTTAGATACGCCACAGAATTACCCTCTAAGGGAGCCCTCAGAGGCAGCCGATGCAGGCCTTGCCGATGATTTTTGTCTAACAACCCTGATGGCAGTCATGAGGGAGCTGACTCCTAGGAGTAAACCTTTAATCCAGCTCATGTCAGTGAGTTGCCCAGGGCAAAAAAGATTGATCGTCGATTGCTACCTTTTTCTCTCTTATTTAGCATTTTTTGTGTTGGAAAATAAAAATAAAAAACCAACTTCTGAAATTTCTCTGTGAAAGACACTATGAGGGATGAGGGGTGGGATAGGTGTGGGAGAGTGATTGGGATCTAATGATTGGGATCTAATAGAATGATTTCGTATCGGCAAATACACTAGTTTTGTTAGCCGATAGGCGTGCTATCTCTGAGTCCTGCTCCATGGTAATGCTCCGATAGTCGTTCAGCCGGGCCACACAGCGTTTAGACTATACGGCCCGGCCAAACGGCTACCGTTCTCGTTCAATTCAGCTTCTCAGCTGTTTGTTGTCTAGAGTCAGTCTATTAGAGATGAGAGGAGGGTGGGGGAGTAATTCAGGGGGTTCCCTGAATACATCCAGGCCTCATAAATCAGCCCATGTTTCCTACGGATGTCATGATCTGCCCTTATTCTCGTTATATCTCTTGTGAGTTCGCTATTCTGGATGTGATGTTTATAAAATTTATTTGAAACGTTAATGATGTAATCTTTGATCAAGGGTAGATCATGACATTGAGCATGCATGTCAGCCACTCGAGTGTATCTATTACCGTTAGTAATGATTCGGAGTACCTTGTTCTGTAGCACCTGTAGCCTTTTCAGTTGAGTGGCGGAGGCGCTACAGTACACCGGACAAGCGTATGTAATCACAGGTCTTATCACTTGCTTGTATAAGAGCAGTTTGTTTTCCATTGTTAGTCCCGAATTCCTGACCAACAATGGATACAATTGTCTTATGGCTGCATGGCCTTTACCAATTAATTTCGTGATGTTCTCTCTGAAGCACATACGCTTGTCCAGCACTACTCCCAGGTATTTCACTGAGGTGTTGACCGTCACCCTTGTGTCTTTGACAAGCAAAGGCCCGTGTAAAGTACTGTTGGTATATTTTTTAGTGAAATTCATCAACTCAGTCTACAGTGCAGTACTCGTACGTTCAAACACCGGAAAATCATAAGTATATAAAGAGTACAACAGGGGTGACAAACACGACCCCTGTGGAACACCTGCCTCGAGTGGCTGACTTGTTGAAATTGTACAATTGATTTTGACTATTATTTTCCTATGGGCTAAATACGAGTCCACGATCTTCACAATAAATATCGGCAGCCCTGCCTTAACCATCTTGGATATTAAACCTTCATGCCACACCGTATCGAAGGCTTTCTCGATATCCATCAGTACCATAACAGTGTTCTTATCCTGGTTAAAGGCTTCTTTTATCCCGTGAGCAATTCGGGCAACTTGGGACGTTGTGCTATGCCCCTCTCGAAACCCGAACTGCTCAGGAGGAATCACACTCAGGTCTTCGGCAAGAGTGTTGATCATATAAAGGAGGGTCCTTCCACCACCTTAGCAATCATGCTGAGCAGCGATATCGGACGGTAGCTGCTTGGCAATTTAGGGTTTCTGCCAGGCTTCAGAATTGGGATCACCAACCCCGTCTTCAGGGACTCTGGGTAGTGCTGGTGTCTGATAATGGCGTTTACTATATAGTGCAGTTGCACTATCGTTTCACGCGGTAAATTTTTTAGGAGAATAGTGTCAATCTCGTCGAGTCCTGGTGCCTTGTTGAGATTTAATCTCTTCAACTTATGAAGGGGTCGTAAGATATTTTTCCAGTACTCGACGAGACAATGGAACGCTCGGTAGGTTCCTTACTCTATCTGCTGTTCTGATGATCTCTTCCTGCTCGATATTTTCTGGGTTTTTATTGATTTGGCTCATTGTTTTGTATTGACTCCCAAGCGCTTCCGCCATTTGTGAATCTGTCATTGCTTCCCCCGTACAACACTCCAGGGTAGGTATAGGGACAAATTTTCTTTTCAGTCCCTTGGTGACCCTCCAAAGTGTGTTGTCCGCGGGACTCAGGTTCTCCACCTTGGACCTCCAGGCATCATTCCTGGCCTCTCTGATACGGTTGTCGATTTCACGGCCCAGTCTCAAAAAAAATTCTTTGGTTTCGGCCGTTTTAAGTCGCTGCCAACGTTTTCTGGCTGCTTTTTTCTCAGTTATGAGGTCTAGAATATCATCCGGAAGGTTGTCCAAGGCGGAGTTGATAGTGACCTCGTTGGTTGATGCATTATATTATATATATATCCTACCAAGAGATTTGAATACCTAGATCGAACATTTTGTGGCCTGGAGCTATATTCCATGCCGGCCGCATCATATTCTGTTTCCATTTTTGTAGAAATACGTTTTCCGATGGAAATTCGAATAGAGTGAATTGATTTTCGGTGTTCTCACAGTTCGAAACTGCACAAACTTGCATCTGTCTTCTAATTCTCTCAATTTGTCAAACCTTTGGAATTTATGTCATGTACGTTCGTATACTGTCAGTTCCCGCTTTCCATCAATTTTTTTGTGATTATGTCCGATTGGCAGTGCTTGTCATGGTGTCCGTAACTCCAATGTACAAAAAACGCCAAAACAGCAGTGCCAAGTACATTTAGGAACTCAAACCTGTACCACCTCTCAATCTGAGCCAAATCCACGCGGCAC